TATATTGTTCCTGGGAAAGTGTTTCGTTACAGCTGCAACCGGAAGCATCGCATTACTTTTTATGAGACAAAACCCGGAGCTACATTTTTACGCTATCCCGATTTTTGTTATTTGCGTTTTCTCGTTTTTCATTGCTCATTGTATAATTTCCATTTACGATTTCATGAGAATAATTTTTATTAAATGATATTTATAATAATTTATAATAATTTATTATTTTAGACTGTTATCGACACGCTATTCTTATGTGTATGCGAGGATAAGAATTTAAATGGTGAAAATGGAAAGTGGCGTCAGTCTGCATTAGCACAAATCGGAGCCTCTAGCAGTAATGCAAACGGACAACAATCTCACGAAATGACACCAATAAACGGATAAGTATCCGATATTTTAGATACATCTTTTTTATACACGTTTTTGTACACATATTTTATTATATGATAGAATACTTTTGCATTTTATCACTAATAAGATTAATAAGAGTACATTCCTTTCGTTCACGCGTGCAATATTTGTATTGTTATGCAAACAATAATTTTGTCTCGAGTTATTTTTATAATAACTAAAAAGAAATATTTAAATTATTATATGAAAATATGATTCGTTCATATATTTTTAATATATTTTTAATATATATGAGATTTATATTAAAATAAGAAAAGTATATTATAAATAAGCGAAATACTTTTTGTTTAATTATGTGTGATTTCATAATATCAATTTGTTTTTTCTCATAGTATTTAAGAATGAACTCATTTCTTAAGATTACAGGTCTTCTTTTGTGATAAATCATGCCAGAATATTCTGAATTATTAGTTATATTTTATGCTATCTCAAAAAGATATTTGGAGATGGTAATCTTGATTAACATGTAAAATTATATTCGTAATTGCAAATGTTTTACTATTTGATAATATGAACGAATTATGATTATAAAACAGAAAATAATGTGGTGTCAATTAATTGCTCACTTTAAGATAGAGTATTTTTAAAAACCACTTGTATTTAGCACTAACTTTTGATTTAACTGCCAGATTTTAAGATATTACAGAATATTTTACAATTCACTAGAATCATTGAAAAAGAAGTTAGATTATGATATTATATTTTATAAGAATTTTTCATTTTGTGGAATATGTTTACTCAGTTATTTACTCAGTACTAAATATCTAATTGATGAATAAAGATAAAGATTAGATTAGATTTTTCTTTTCTCTAAACTTTGTATCATTGAAGTGCCATTGCACAAATTGAAAATTCTGTGTCTTAAGAATATTGCTTGTATAATAATAAGGGAATAAGAGTAATCATATTTTTAAATTTTAAGCATACATATAAAAAAAAAGCAAGTGCAAGTCAATAAAGCTATAAAGTACAATTATCATTTACAAAAAAACGCATTCTAATGCAACAAAGTGCAATTATTTGTAGTTCAAAAAAATGTCGACACATAAAATATGGATTATTTATTATACTAATGAAAAGAATTGTTCCTCTGCTAATTGCAAATGAAAAACCTATTTTCTAAACTTTACATACATAAGTTTCATTCCTTCCAATCAAAAAGTTTGAAATAAAATAATTAAATATCCAATTCAAACACTTAGATAATAAGAGGCTTTTATACTTCGATGTACAAAATATATATTGTTAGATATTTTAATACAATGTATTAAGCAAGTGCTTGTGCGAGATAAATTAAAATATATATATCTAATTGTAAGTTTCTAAGATATATTTAAAGTATTTTAGATTGATATAAATTTGTGTTAATAAATATAACATATTAATGACGAAGTACAAAGCAGTATGATTCAACATATTCTAAATATTCAACGATATTAATAATATATTGTATCGTGTTGTAATAACTAATATTAAGAAATTATATTTTTTTTAAATTACACATATATGTAAAACATATGTTCATGATTGAAAACATGTATTAATAGCTTTGAATTATTTTATTATTAAACTTGAATAATTTGCGGGCACAATACTTGTAAACAAAAGGCAATTCAAAATTAGTTATGTACTTAATAACATATACTTAATAACATATATGTAAATATATATATATGTACATGAGATTATTTAATTAATTCTCATGAAATTATCATATAAACGATGTAAGAACTAGAAGATTTTTTTATACACTTTCCTCTTTCTTTATATTTATTTTAAAATTCTCATTATGTTAAAGTTTTATTTAATGATAGATGTTAAATAATTCCATCGTACAAGAAAAAACATCTCTCATTTATCATATTAAAAATATATTTTATTAATGATATTACAAAATAATATTCATTTTATCTTCTTCTTTTTTGAAACTTCTTTTTTGATTTTACAAATTTTGCTTTTTTAACTTTTTTAGCTACCACAGGTTTCTTTTTTATCTTTTTCACTTTATTTTTCACAAGCTTTTTTGTATTTTCATTTTTATCCATCTCAAATTTTTCTTCGATTTCCATTGCTTTTTCCACTAAGTCACCCTTAAATATTTCATCTATGGGATTAACTGCATAGGATAAGTCAGGTTTATTTGCGTGTCGTACCATTTTCTGTTCCACTCTATTTATATATTTATTAGCAGCCTTTTTTGCTAATGATTGACGAAGCTAAAATTTTTTATAAATTATAAGAAATATTATATAAATAATGCAAAAAACAGATCAATCATAATATGCATTTATCAAATATAAAATAAGACTGTTCTATTACCTTGGCAGGAGAAATATAATTGGGATTTTCCCATAAAGTATTATTGCCGAAACTTCCACTAAATATCTTGACTGGATTCAAAACAAATCTTGGACCAATTTCGGTTAATGCACCATCCTCTGTTAAAATTTGGAAGTTTCGGAACCATATCCTGTTGTCTACAACAGCGAATGTGTATACATGATCGAAGAACGGTTGACTTTTAGGATGATGATTTGGTACACTAAAAATCTGTGTCAGTAATTCCTTCAAGAGATTATAATGCGCATGTGTGGTGAAATGTTCATCAAATGATAATAAGGGCCGAGATCCTCTCAAACAATTTCCTGTCATCTTCAACTCTCTCATTGTATAAACTATAAATAAGTTTAATGTGCGATTATACAAATTATGTATTAATGTATGTGTCGACTCCATATATATATATATATTAAAAATTTATTAATTAGGTATAATATTTACTGTTTTCTATGAGAAATTTTGCACTTGGACCAGTGGGTACATTAGCGAACCACATGTAAAGATCCCGCTTCATTCGACCTTCAAACAGGATAGCTTTGTTACAATTCTTCATTTCACATATCTCGTTCACTACTTGTAAACTCTTAGTGCGTTCCATCTTGCATTCTGAACGGTGATGTGGCATCAATTTTTTTAAATCCTCCATGAGATGTCGATGCCTATAATTGATGCCTCGAGTAGCAAATACCAATACCCGTTGTCTGTTGATCCATTTCACCTACAAGAAAAAAAATTATTCCAATTTTTCTTTTCATTAAACAAATGTATAAAGAGTAACAGTAAAGATTAGATTATAGAAAACAGTTACAATAATTATTTTTTTTTAAATTACTGACTTAATTGATTTTGGTTAAACATGTTTTTTAAAAAGAAAACATTGATATAATTTATATGTGATTCTTTTTCATTAATTAGTACTTTACAATATTAATTATACTGAGTAATTAGTATAGGTTATTTAAACCTTTTTAGCGGCAGGTTCATCTGCCACTTTCTTTTTCGGGTCATCTTCTTTCTCCACATTTTCCTTCTGCTTTCTCTTTAATGTTTTCTTCGCCATTATAAGAACAAACGAAATAAATAATAGCAAAAAAGATAAATAAGATTCTCTAATTACACTCGTAGTAGAACTATTCACAAGATTCACGTGGACGCACGGCTCACGAATTTAAAAGAAGAGGTCTGTTCTTTTTGGCTGAACTTTTGCACCAGTTCATCTTTTATCCTCTTCTTTTTTGTTGGAGAGAAAAGGAAAAAAGATGAACTGGAGGAAAGAAGAAGAGAAAACATGAACTGATGCAACAGTTCAGCTAAAAAGAACAGGCCTTATTTCACTTCAACTTATTACCACCATATGCATCAGTCAAGTAATGCAAGCATAAAGAACAGACTTAAGGAGTGAAAATTCGGGGGATGAAAAGATTGAAAATGAGCTTGAAAAGCGGCTTGCGGGGAAAATTGGAAGTATTGACTGTATCACGATACATGCACAAATTACATATGTATGTACATTTTATTTTTATTATGGAAATTCCAATTATAATATTTCATTTTATTTTGTTAAACGGACGCTGTGTTCCAAAATTTATTGCCAACACTGAAAATCTATAGTGCATGTAACATAAACTCTGGCCATCAGTGCTCTTTTGATTGATCCGCTATTTTCTAACCATTCGCGTTAATCGGAGCAAGATAACACATAACACATATCTTTTTCTTTAACAGATAACACATATCTTTTTCTTCCTCGCGCAGAACGAGATAGAACATATCTTTTCTCACTCGCAAGATTTGGCTAGAAAATGAACGATACTCTTTGATGGCCAATCTGGGGCCAATCTCCTTTCAAAATCCACAATCAACCCCCTGATAGAGGATTTCTATTGTGCTATAAAGGGAGCTTTCCAGCAAGAGACACAAATCACACAAGTCATTCTGTCCTTATTTAATAATCAGTAAGAAACAAAGACGGAATGTGTAGATTTGTGCCTCTGCTGGAAAGTTCCCAAAGTGATTTTCCGAAGCTTGAAATTTAGCCCAATTTTTTCGCGACCGGCCTGCCTTCCTTTGCCTTCTTTTTCTTCATCGAATCGCAGTTTTCTATAATTTAGAATAGGAAAGACTTGCTCAGTATATTATAGACAGACGACAGATGCACATAACAACAATTCAGAGCAATCAGTTAGCCAATCAAATTTTGTTTTAGTCTTACTGCGCATTCCTCAAGTTGTCTCACCTGTCTTTTTCCACCATGGCGGCATTATTCACGAATGAAAACATGTCAGTTGATAACAACGGACAAATACCGGTAAAATTCGTACAAACTTGACTGAAAATTTACAGAATTCAAGAGGTCCAGGGAAAGTCGAAACGAGTTCGACTTATCGACGATTTCATCAGGAGGATTTAAAAGGAATCAAATGGCGAGGACTCTAACGATGGCTCTCAACATGTCACAAATAGAGAGGTTAATAGTGAGGCCAATCGAAGATATGCTTACCGTGGAGAATAATGATTTTATAATGAAAAATATCAACGAAGAATACGAAGATAAGCCGGAAGGCAACATGGGATTTAAAAAGAGAATTGTACCAGTAATTACTATAGAAGAAACGGAGGATAACGTACTTCTCGATAGAAATCTAACCTATGATGATGGCGCGAAAAAGTGGGATCAGATTTCAGAGCATCAAACGGGGATATTAGTGGATGAAGCGTTTGAAATCGAGGAAAACCCACATATTGACATTAAGGAAAAAGAAGAGCGGAAAGAAGTAATTAATTGGAGACTGGCTCCAGTGGATCATGCAACAATAGCATGGCATAGAGAACTACAAATGAATGAGGTACAAATGGATAAGCCATGCACAGAGCAATCTCATATGGAACAGCCACATACGGAGCAACCACATGCGGAACAACCACATACAGAGCAACCACATGTGGAACAATTACATGTGGAGCCACCACATGTGGAGCTACTACATGTGGACGAGTCGCAAGATCTACAGGTAATCAATCCTGTGACAATGACGTCAAGTAGTATGTTGCAAACACAAGATAGTGAATTCAAAACCATTGAGGAGATAAAGGAAGAGGAGCAACGACTGATGACGGAAATCGAAAGACGAGGTGAGCTGCAGAAAACGATTAATGAAAGGGTTGCAAGAATTAAAAAAATGCGTGAGTTTTTGGAGAAATTCGATAACATTGAAGAAACTGAGGCTAAAGAGGAGAACGCAGAGATGGAGAAACGACTAAATGAAGCGATAGAAGCTTACTTGACGACAGGTGAACAAAGCAAAAATTTCAGCGATAAATTTACAATAGTGGACAACAATGGTCAAAGCATATGTGAAGCATCAATGGTTGTTACATTGAAGGACAAAAGACCGAGGAAGAACATCCGGGAAAATAAAACGTATCGGATAACGTATGATATTACAGGATCTCAAATAAATCGATCGTACTGCGAGTTTACGGACGATACCACATCATCACAGACAAGCAAAGCTAGAAAGAGAACAGAGACGAGCAGATCAGAGATAATAACACGATCGATGATGAACTTAAGAAGAAATTTACCAACAATATCAAATTCGAACGAAGGGATGCAACTCAGAAAAAGGAGAAATACACAATGGTCATTGAGAAATAGAAAGACTGCTTACAAATCAAAAAAACGAAAAGAGAACGATCGAGTGACGCATGTGAGGAATGAAAAAGGAAGGTTTGTGAAAAAAAATTTGTGAAAAAAATAAAGCGCTTACGAAATGAATAAGGTAATCACCGATGCGAAAACTTACAGCGTTTTCGAGTGCAGTGAGTTCTAATCCGGGTTGGATCGATAACGTCACATGTTTTATTTTGATTTCTGATTGGACAAGATTATGATACTTCCGGGTCAAACATGGGTTAATCAAACTGGATCAGGTTCAAACCGACTGTACTTAAAAACACTATTAATCTGAATCGTTAGATAAAAAACTGACAAGGAATCCTCCAATTTCAGAAGGTGCTGCATCATCGGCGGTTATCTCTTCTTTTTCTTGTTCTTCTTTTTTTTCTCTTCCTCTTATTTATATTTGATCCCGTCTGCTTCATTAATGACGATACGGCCAGTAACGTAGATGAAAAAAGTTGTTAACGAAATATACTTCCAATCTTCCACAGAATAGCCACAAAGAAGTAAAAAGGCAATTCACGAGTGTACAAAACTCACTCGATAGATTTCATCAGAAATTTTCAAAAACATTAGAAAAAATTATAAGAAACAACAGCTCGCTGAAGCAAAACACATTCATTCCAATTGAGTTAATTCAAACTGGCATTCATCTTGAGTGAGACAGAGGTGGCTATAACAGAAGATTTAACTAGAGAACTCAAAGGACATCAATGAGATACTGTCATGAAGGAAAAGAGCAACGTGTTCAGAGAAGCGATCAAGAGTGGCAAACAGCAAGGATGCAGCAGTCAACAGTCAAGGGGTTGAGAGGATGAAAAAACGCTTGGTAATTATAAGTTACTTGGAGATTTAACCGCGAAAAGTTCATTTCATATGTAGTTTATATTGAATAATTAATTACATATTTATTTAATAAAAAAACAGAATATTTTATATGTAATTAAAAAAAAAAGGCATGCGTCTTCGCGGTTGTTGGTGCTCGGGAAAAAATATTTTATATGTAATTATATATAATTATATAAAGTTATGTATAATTATATATAAAATATGTCCATATATGTAACATTTTTTCTCGGTGCTTAAATTATAAGGCAGTAAGATATAATTTGTATAAATAGTTCAAATGTACTTACTTAAATAATGTTAACTGCAAACTTTTCTATAATCTTTATTTTTTTTGTAACATAAATTTTTACTTCGTTTTTCAAAATACAAAATTGACAATTTAAGTCCTCTTTAATGTCAAAGTACAAAGTATATCTTATTGTCTTATATAATTTATGCATCACAGCAGAGGGTTATATAGGCACCTTACTTGTATTGGATTTATTCTTGGAACCACAAATTATACTATTCACCCTTTCGTACTTCGGAATATACATGTCCCACCTACGAAAAAAAGTATAATTTTTATAAAGTAATCCTATCGACTTTTATCTTGACTTTAAAGAAAAAAGTGTAAGCGACATGTAAAAAAATCCCCTTTGTAATGTAATGTTTTCAATAAAATATAGTTATCTAAACGTTGTAAAAAATCAAATTTTTGGATAGTAAAGAATAACCATATATTATGTCATGTATATAGAACCATGTATATAGAATTGATGCTAATCATATATTTAGAGTCTTATTTAAATGTGAACTTTATTATAATAGTTTATATATGTATATATATATATATATATATAATATATATATATATAATGTATATGATATTTCAGTGATTTGATCGTCATTTTGAATTTTGATAGTAAATTTAGAATTACACACAGAACTCCCAAAAACTGTCTTCATATGAAACGTATCTTTTTTGGGAAACTCAGAGGTACGAAAGGGTTAACATAATTTATTTCAATTTTATGTTTATGTTTATGTTTATATATGTGTTCGACAGATTTTATTTTCTGGTTTAAAATTGATACCATAAAAGATCGTAAAAGACCGTAAAATTTATATTTATCCATAAGGAACTGAATTTTCTTTTTTTAGCCACAAAAAATAGTTTCTATCATAAGCTTATTATAAGAATTAAATTATTTTATGTTTTGATCGTAATAAGTAGTTTATATTGATTAAATAATTTTGTATTTTTTGTTTACTAATAATAAGGTTTATACCATCAATTCAACGTAAAAATTGGGTAGATTATATTTACGATTATAAAGTGATTTAGCGAATTTACTATTAGATACATTTTTTGCTTTATAATTTTATTGGTTTTTATTTTATACAAGTTTATATCTAAAGATGCGATTTTTCTATTGTGAACTATCTATATTACATCAGATAAGTTTTTTATTAGAGATATTAAGTTATCGTATTTACAATATAATAGGCCTGGATCGGACGGTATTAATTTATGAAGATGAACGCATATATATACAAAAAAGAGAAATTTAATAATTAAATAACTGAAATTATAAGAATGATCCTGATTTGATATTGAAGTTAGTGAGCGGTCGTATCGATTAGCAAAAAGCTTTGAAACAAGTATAAACATTATTTTATATCAAGCTTATCTCCCTAAGCGTAAGGGATATAAGGGGATATTGACGGAAGTTCTTTTCCAGCTTCGGATTTATGCGTTACGAATTTCGCGAATCGTTATTAAAAAAGTGAAGCAGAGTTTCACCTAATATCACGATTTAATATAAAAATTGATTATTAAAATTTATTATGTTATTTATATTGTGATATTTGTGGTGACTATGTACATTTCGAGCGCAAGTGCATGTATGTTTGTGAATTAACGAAAGCGTAAGAGATTTTGTAAATACAGAAGAAATATTATTTTACTTGGAAACTAAACATTTCGTACTTATCTATTCGCCTATCGAACTTTACTTAGCGATCCGTTTTTATCCCTCTACTTCCATTTTTCTTCTTCTCTCTCATTATCTACTATATTTAACTTATACTGTTTTGTGATAATCTTGTTATGATCATTTCTATAAGGATATTCTCAAATAATTTTCAGTACATTCTCAGCAACATTCTTTGCATCATATTGACAGATAATTTTTATCGCCAAAACAACAAATACAGCCAAAAAAGAAATAACCATATAAATAAATTTGCCTCTCCGGCTATCCGGCTATAATAAAATTGATGGAATATGTTTTTATTAAATTTGTTTTAAACAATTAATTTTATCAAAAATTAATAATAAAACATTTTAAAAATTGCTTAATAGACTATTAAATTTTTATAATGGTTATATAATGGTTCATATTAAAAAATCCTTTTTTTTTTATTAAAAAGAAATTAATAATAAAATGTCAAGAGTTAAATTAATATTTACTCATTTAATATTAGAAAGTTTTGATGATAATAGAATGAAATTATTAGGAATAGCTAAATTGTTATGTACTATTGAAATATAATGAAGAAACAAAGATTTATAATTGATATATAGCAAATATAATGTTTAATTAAAACTATTTAATTAAATTAAAAGAATGTACATGCTAAAGAATATTCTTAATACGAAGATGTTTATAACAGAAAATGTAGATGTTTTTGATGATATACTGATTTAATTAAAAAGTTACACTTTTTTTCGTTAGGTTTTGGAATGCAGACTGTTCACCGAGCGATTTGTCCTTCCTTATGGATCTAAAATCTAAAGATACTTTTTAGATTCAACTGCTTTACGAACAAAACTGAGTTCCGAAATCCATCGAAAAAAAGTGTTGCAACCTTTTAATTGACGAGTATACAATTGAAGTATAGGTGAGAAAAGTACATTAATTTGTCACTCCAGGAGAATTCTGTACACAGTTCGTGATAAATTAAAAGATAACTAAATAGTATAATATGCTTATTAATGTTATCATTTATGAATTAAATATTATATAATTTAATATCCCTGATGAAAATTGTTTTCAGAATTTTTCATATAATTTTTCAGAATTTTTAATATAATTTTATAACTCTCTCACATTTTTTGTACGAATTGGACTTTTCAGAAAATCTACATCTCTTCAAAATTTTTCATATATATGTTAATTATGTAACATCATAAAATTTCTAAGATTTTTTTGTAAGTATAATTTCTGATGAAACGTTATAAAATTCGAAAAATTTTTAAATATTTTTTTTTATGAGAAATTTCAGAATATTTCAGAATTCACTTGTACGAAAAATTCTAAGAGAAGATGTAAACTTTTCGAATATTTCTGAGTTTCTGAAAAATGTTCCAATTCATATTATTAAAAAAATTATCATAATTAAAATTAAAATAAATGTTATTAATGTTAACATTTATACATTAATAATATCACTTATAATTCAATTATGAATTATAAGTATAAAATGAGAAATTTGAGTGAGGGTCAACAATTTAATAATAATAATAAGAAAATGACATAGTAATAATAATAATAACTTAAATATAATTGACCGTCTTTAATATCGATTTCGAATAATCAAAACAGTTGATAATATGTCAGCGTTCTTCAATTATTTCCGAATAATTCAATTACCCTTTGAGATAATTACGCTATATATTAAAGCTGTGTTCGCTTTTGCGTTTAACGCTTTAAGCATCGTTTCATTCTTGTTGTTTAATAAATATTAAACAAGGACAATTGATACTCACAAGCACTGTGAGCGGTAAAGCGAACGCAGTCTAAATAAAGACCGACGTCCTTCTATATAGTAATAGTACATATCTCATCTGATGTAAATGGAAATTTACCGCTATTTGGTTCGTATCTCCGCTAAATGCGTGCCTTGACTTTTTAAGTAATTTTTTTCACTTAACATTGCTTTGCTGGTTTTGCCTTATTCAATCAATTCACCTGTCACTATCTGCAATTATAGTAAGTATGAATATTAATAAAATCATGTACAATATTATAAAATAGGCTATAATATAAACAATACTTAACGTTTTAGGTTATGGGTAGACATTGTTGCGTTTTGGGATGTTCCACGGGGGTGAGCCTACCTTCCCACATGTTTCCCAAAGACGTTATCATGATGAATAAATGGAAAAAGGCGATTTATTCAGAGAAAATACAAGATTTAACTGATGAACAATTAAGAAAGTGTGTTGTATGCTACAGACATTTTGCCGATAGTGATTATGAAGCAATGTATAGATTACGAAGATTGAAACCTGGTGTTATTCCATCCTTATATCTGCCAAATAACGGTAATAACAACACTGAAGCAAATAATAGTGAAGACAATGAAATAATTAATGATCATGACACTGAGACTCATACTTACAGCATTGTAAGTACAAAAGGTTCTAAAAGCAAAACATTAGATATAAATGCAATTGATCAACTTGAAGAAATTGAAATAATAGAAATAAAAAAAGAGACACAACCTGCAATAGAAATCTTAGAAAGTATTCCAATAATTAGAGAATTATCACAGAGTATTCCAATATATAAAGAAGTATCACAAAATATTCCAATAAATGAAGAGATGTCACAGAATATTCCAATAAATAAAGAAGTATCACAAAGTACTCCAATAAATGAAGAAGTTTTACAAAGTTCTCCAATAAATAAAGATTCTTTAAAGTTAGAGTCTTCCTCGCCCAAAAATTCAATATCCAGCTTGTCAGACCTGCATAACTTACTGCATGAAAAGTGCTTTCATAAATTTACGCCAAAAATGTGGAAGTTGTACAAATTATCATGTATATTAAGAAAGAAGCAAGAGGTTGTTATAAAGAGGCAGT